TAAGAGCGTGTGTTCCCCTGGTTTCTAACCCATCGTCTGTGTTCCACCACACACTGACCGTGAATTAATAAAAAAAAAATAAACACTGTTTTAAGAAGGTCAATGTCCTGTTTGTCAAAAAAAAGAGAAAAAGAAAATTCTCCGAAACATCCTGGAAAAAGTCTGTAGTCCGTCGTCTTGTATTAACTCCACGTGACCAGGATGGTGAGAAGAACTGATCTGGGAACAGCTGAGTCTCCACAGACTGTCCCTGGAACACGGTCAAAGACGGACTTCTCGTGCTCTCGTGTCAATGTCAGTAACATGTCGTCAAAATAACAAAAAAAAGGGGGGAAAGTATTGCCCCCCCTTCCTCCCCCCCGACAGGTTTACCTCCCCCAGACTGTGACCTTTACTTCATTTCCAGGTAAATTGTGCCAAACTGACCCCGGACCAGCACTGAGCAATTCAGCCTTCCTCCAGCAGGGGGGGCTACCCGACCCATAAAGCAATGAACAGTGGGACCAGTATAGGGGTGTGATGGTCTTCCACCAGTCCCGTTTCTTTTTCTTCCTATTTTTGTTCGTTTTGGTAATAATTGTATATGGCACTTTATCTTACACCCCTGTGACATATATGTACATAATAAACATGTATTTTAACCTGATGATGTCATATAATAAATACGATCAAAGAAGTTCACGGATCGGTTTTTAACTGAAGAACAAATTCACTTCAGTCATCGAAGGTCTGTGGCGTCAGGAACCGACGACCGTCTCCAGTCTGAGGGTCTCCGACCCTCCAATGAGCTGAGGTCCACTGCTGCCCCCTTCATGTCATCAGGGGTTATTGATGTTCTATATACTGTCTAATACAAACAAATACAACCAGTGAAAACAAACCAAACAAAACTGAAAATAAATCCTCAAGAGAAAAATGTAATCATTCAGTTGCAGACCGGATTTGGAGGGTGTGTCAGCCAGAAGTGGCCCGCAGGCCAGGGGTTTGAGACCCTGTAGAGTCTACTGTCTACCTGTTAACACATCTACCATACCTACCTGACCAGGGAACACCAGGCCTGGTGTCCGTTGTCCACTACATCTACTGTGTCTTCCAGGATAAACGGTTCAAGACGACGACGACTAGATTTTTCACCAAGCCTCCTACTGTGTCTTAAACGGTTCAAGACGACGACTAGATTTTTCACCAAGCCTTTGTTTTAATGACAAACTTCAAAAAAGGCCCGTTGACGACAGTAACAAAAAAACAGTCTCCATGGTGACCAACCAGAGTCAGAGTCTTGAACTAAACGTCATTGGTGAGCAGCAGCTTTAAGTTCCATTCCTCTAGCGCGCAGCAGCTAGCAAAAGAAAGCTAATACAAAAAAGATGAAGGAGCGTTAACTAGCTAGTTATCCCGCTAGTCCAGACAGTGGCCCAGGTGTCTGGACCTGGTGGTTCAGACAGAGCCTGAAGAGGTGGGCTATACCAACGCCTCAATATATCGTTGTGCCAATAGTATCGCAATATATCGTGATACGGGTCGTATCGTTTCTTGCCAACACACAGCCCTACAGCAAAGACATTTCCGGCCGGCGTCGTCCTTCCGATCATCATCCTCCTGATGCTACTTTTCTAAAATACTTCTTAAGAATAAATACAAAACAACAACATTTAAAGCGACCTGAAGAGTCTGAGCAGGAAAGTCTATAAACACAGACTATGAGAGCGGAGCTGCCCGACGGACGGACGGACGGTGTCAGAGGCAGCAGCGACACAAACACCTGAGGTTGAAGAAGCATCGCGCTGCTGCATATATGTTTATATATATGTGGTAAAAACTGTGGAGCGAAGCACCTGAAGAGGCCGGACAGTTGTCGTTGGGAGGTCGGGGTTCATCGTATTTTTTCCAACTTTTAGTTCCATTGTTTGGGTTTTTCGTGTAAAACGTTGTCATTGGCCAATCAGAGAGTTCCAGCCTGGGAAGTTTTCAATCTCTCCGGTCTCCTGCAGCGATTGGTCTCCGTGTTTCAGTGTCAGCTTGAAGCGAAGACGTACTTTACACTGAGTAAAAAGAATATTTAAAAAAAATTAATAAATCAGAAAACAAATGAAAAAAGAAACAACACAACAAAGCATTAACTAAAACAGCGTTGATTGACAGGTTGTCATTTCGCGGTACCTTCTGAGGGTTGGCCAGCAGGACGACCTGGGAGATGGCAGGTGGAGGCAGCAGGGGGTTGTACGGAGGAAGGCTGGTCCGTGAGGCAGGCTGAAGTTTCACCACCATGGTCTGAAGGTCAGAGACAGGACAGAGGAAGACCACCTCCTTCATCATCATGTCACAGCAAGTCAGTGAATGAATATAAATAAATAAAATAACATGTAGGTAATAATTCTGCATTAGCATCATTAAAAAAAGGTCCCAGAACATTCCATCAAAACAGGGACGTAGGTAATAATTCTGCATTAGCAACATTAGCATAATTAAAAAAAAGTCCCAGAACATTCCATCAAAACAGGGAACAACAATCGATAAGAAACACGGTTTTTTTTACTGTATTCCTCACAGTGAAAAGGCTCGTTTATATATGTAGTACAAATTGGTGTCACCAGGTGGTGGTGTTTGACGAATACGTCGCTCATTTCCACTCAGCAGCGGCCGTCGTCTGTTACCTTGGGAACGGCCGCCTGAAACGTGAAGTCCTTCACATCGAATGCAGAGGTGTTCACCGTGGAGACGACGACCACGGCGACATCCGGGTGACCCGCTGGGGGGTCTTTGGCGAAGTGGAGGGAGGCGTGGATGCCGCCCTGGTCGTACAGAGTGATGGGCTCCAGGTGACCTGCGACGGAACAGAGACCACATTAATGAGAGGAAAATCAAGGGGAATCAACGTCCACGTAAATGAACAGAAGGTGGCGCCGCACAT